TGGCTGGCCCCGGAGCCCAGCACCCATTTCCCAGCCCTTTCCCCTTTTAGCCACTGTCTGGCTCCGCGGGGGGACGGGGACGGAGCACTCACAGCTGGTGGGCACTGCAGTTGTAGAACTTGAACTCGGTGCTGACAAACGTCCTCCCCGTCTCCCGCGACTTCAGCTGCAGCACCACGCCGAACCAGTCTGCGGATGCAAAGCAGAGCCCGTCAGTCCCGCCGGCAGTAACGAAGGAAGCGACAGCAGACGCGGGGGCTGAGCCATCTTCTCCGGGGGTAGAAGCTGGAAGTCGGGTTGCTTTCCTCTCCCTGCTCCCCCCGCCATCAGGACCCACTGCGGTGAGCCTGCAGCAGTGCCCCAAGCTCGGGGATGAGCATCCCCCGGCCGGACCCTGCCCGCGAGCACCCCAGGGTGCTGTCTCCAGCAATGCCTCCAAACCAAACCAGGCCGGATGGAAAAATGCATTGGAGACGCAGGGTCTAAGCGCTGCCTTGGGTCACACTTGCAGTGAGTGTGGGATCTCACCCCGTTCCCTAAAGGATCCCGTCTCCAGTACAAAAACAGTCATTGAGTCTACTCTGAGAAGCAGCCCATGACCAGAATAGGAGACAATGCTGGAAACAAGGGCGTTAGTGGAGCTCTTTAGCAGTCTCAGCACTGGATTAATTAAGAGCAGATTGCTCTTCCAGAGCTGCTGTGGGTAAGTCTACGCTAGCCCTGCCACCACGGCGGCTCTCGGCCCGCAGTGTTCTCAAGTCTCAGGCTCCACACAATGCCTCAGAAATACAAAGATATCAGCGGGGAAGCACAGTTGACACCTGGAAGGACGCCAAGGAGAAAATGAGTTTTAAGTAAGTAGCATTTTGGTTACGGGAAGAGAAAATATGACAGCAGTGACATTAATGAAGAAACAACCCAAAGATCAGGATGGAAAAATAGAAACGGCATCCACCTACTCGTGGGTGCTGAGCCAGGCCGAGAGGAGGGCTCCTGCTTTCCAGACCCACGAGTGCGGCAAGGCTCCAAGCCCCTGCCCCACTCCGGAGCCACCCTGGGGGGGACAGACAGCTCCTGCCGCCCCGAGTCCTGTCTTGGAAGCTGCCTGGCAGGGCAGGGGGACTGTAAGGACAGGGGAAGCACGTGGTGCTGCCTGCTCCCAGCCCGTTTTTCCCTGTGCGGGGTGCATCTCATACGGACAAAGCCTATTTAGCTCCCGGGGTTCAACGGTCTTCGACAGGAGCACGAATTTCTCCAGCAGCAGCCCCAAAGGGTCTGCTCCAGCCAGCACCCCTTCCACACCTACGCTGTGCTTTCCGGCGGCACGGATGTCGTATTCTGCCCAGAAGCCAGTGACTCACCCTGGTCCACAGGTATGGCAGGGACATCCTTCGCTGCTGGCGAAACGCACACAACACGGCTGCCCGACACGCGCCCTTCCACCTCCGTCAGGTTCCCGAAGAGGCAGGTGACGCCAGGCGCCAGGTCCGGAGCATCGCTCACCAGCAGGCTCAGCTGCAGCCGGGCACGGAGGGGAACAAAACACAGCAGCAACCTGTCAGCAGGCACAGTGCCCCGAGCTTCCTTCGCGTCTTCAGTACCGGCCGTGTCCCCACGCACTCGACACCCTGGTGAGGTCTCATCTGGAGCACTCTGTCCAGTGCTGGGCTCCCCAGTTCAAGAAAGATGAGGAGCTACTGGAGAGAGTCCAGTGGAGGGTTAC